ATCTGTACATGGGAAAGATGATGTTAACAGTGATGTGAAGAATGGACTGAAGGAAGGAAAGAGTGAAATTGAGAAAACCTGATAGGAAGCTCCAGCTCCTGAGAGGATAAGAACTAGCAGCAGCTCAGAAAAAGGTTAAGTACAAACAAGCAGGAGTGTGCAGAGTAACCTGAATCTAAGGCAAAATCTAAGCACTGTGGGGCTGGGGCCTTCCCAAAAGCACACAGTCTTCACAGGGTGGCTGGTGCACCTTCCTACCCAGAGGCAGGGAAAGAGGAGCCAGGAGTAGGTGCAGAATGTGAATAAACTCCTATTCCACCCCAAACATCCATCACCATCATGGTAGTTTCTTTTCAAGAGACACACTAGAACAAAATCCTTTCCAATCAATCAATAAATATTTATTAAGCACCTACCACATGTCAGGCATTGTGCTAAGTGCTGGAGATACAAAAAGAGGAGAAAGATAGTCCCTGCCCTGGAGGAGCTTATAAGCAAACAAACATACACAAAGTAAAGTATACACAGGATAGATAAGAAATAATTTACAGAGGGAAGGCACAAGAGGCAAGAGGGTTGGGGAAGGCTTCCTGTAGAAGGTGATTTTTTTTTTTTTTAGGCAATTGGGGTTAAGTGACTTGCCCAGGGTCACACAGCTAGTAAATATCAAATGTTTGGTCTGAGGCCAGATTTGAACTCAGGTCCTCCTGACTTCAGGGCTGGTGCTCTATCCATTGCACCACCTAGCTGGCCTGGAAGGTGAGATTTTAGTTAGAACTTAAGGCAGGGGGAGAAGAAAAAAAGAAGTCTCCAGGGAGGTCAGTAGGCATAGAGGGAGAGGGAGAGCATTCTAGGCATGGAGGGCAGCCAGAGAGAATGTCTGGAAGCGAGAGATAGCATGTCTTGCTTGAGGAACAGCCAGGAGGCCATTGTCACTTGCATTCAGCCTTCAAGGCAGCCATGCATGATGTGGCAGAAAAAGAACTGAATTTGGAACCTGAAAATCTGAGTTCAAGCCTTGGTTCTCCCATTTACCAGCTGTGTGATCATGAGTGAAGAAGGTCTCCAGAGGCAGACCCTCTGAGCACAGGATGGGCAAGGATGGGCAGGCATGGACAGGCTGCCATCTGCACCATTGGAAGGACCTCCCAAACTGATGAAAACACAGAATGACTTAAGTATCTGAGTGACAAAAGGGGAGCTGTCTCACCTCTGTGGGCTTGTTTGCTCGTCTGCAAAATGAGGATACTAATACCATCATTACCTAACTCACCAGGCTGTTGTGAGGCAAGTGTTTTGCAAAATTCAAAGTGCTGTGTAAATGCAGACTGAAATTATTGTTGGAAGACACAGTACCCACGCCATACTAGGAGGCCACGCTGTGAAGGAGATAATGCCCTGTACCTCTTTAGGTCTGCTGGCTAGGACTTCAAAAAAAAACCGGGGCAAAGCTCACCTGCTGTGAACACCCAGCCCCGCTGCTGCCGGCTTTCCTCTGATGCCACTACTCGGACCAGCTGGGTCACATCACCAAAGGAGGACTGGAACCACTGAATATCTGACATGCGCCGAGCATCACTCACCAACTACAGGAAAGAACACAGAGTCAGACAAACCCCAGGCCTGGCATGCATGTCATATTAGGTTTGGAGGAGAAAGAAAGAGAAGGGAAGGAAAAAAGAATTGAAAGCCATAGTTCCTTCCCTCCCCAACACTAGTCGGGGAGTCAGAGCCTCCAATACATCTGCAGACATCCCTTAAAGCAATATGCCTACTAACCAAATTCTAATCTTAGATGCTCAAGTTCAAATGCCACCTTAAAATCTAACAGGAGTAACAAAAAAAAACAAACTATATACAGAATAAATAGGGGGAAAGGCACAAGAATTAATAGGGGCTAGGAAAGGCTTCTTGCAGAAGGTGGGATTTTAGTTGGAACTTAAAAGAAGCCAGGGAAGTCAGTAGGTGTAACAGAGGAGGAAGAGCATTCTAGACATGGGGGACAGCCAGAAAAAATGCCTGGAGCCAGGAGGTAGAATGTCTTGTTCATGGAACAGCCAGGAGGTCAGTGCCACTCGAACTCTTAGCCTTTGAGGCAGCTGGGCATGCTACAGCAGAAAAAGCATTAGATGGTTTCTCCCATTTATCAGCTGTGGATCATGAGTGAGGAAGGCCTTCCTTTGACCGTCCCCATCCAGAAGCCATCTCTCCTTCCAGGGGGTCACAGGAATTGATCTACAAGGAACCTCAGAATCATCTAACTTCAGCTATTTTATTTTACAGATGGGAAAACTGAGGTATGGGGAGGTCAGGTGAATTGCCCAAAGTCATCTGAGTAGCCAGACCCAGATTCAAGCCCTGGCTTCAAACTACACCAGGAATAAAAGATTAAAATTGATGAGAATTTAAATGCATCAAGTCATCAGTCACTATATAACGCCAAGTTCGCTCTCCCTACAAGGCTGAAAGCTTTGTTGACAAGCTCTTCTACTCTACATACTAATGTTCTTCACTAATTAACACCAGTAGCCAGCAGGAGTGAACTTCAGTCCCAGAGATGATGGTCATGAGCATTAACTAACCACCCGGGGGCGATAGCAAGTTTCTTACCAGCAAAAGATTCTGGTACCCTTGAAGACCTGTATATTCGACAACAACAAAAAATCTACTCTGGTTTTCTCCTAGGGTCTTGACATTTATCCACTCAGCAATAACTAATATAAAAAGCAAATCTAGAACCTCCAGCCTAGAACATTCACGTGGCAGTCATACCTAGGGATTCTGGCTCCCAGGATCCTAGAACTAGGGGCTGGGAGGAGCCCCAACCCCTTCATTTTATAAATGAAGACCCTGATGGCCAGAGAGGTCAAGGGAACTCAATTAAGGATCAGGAATAGGATTTGAATTCATGTCCTCTGACTTTGGAGCCAGGGCCCTTTCTACACTCCCATATTGCCAGTCTCTGAACCCAGCCCCTGCAGGACTCCTGGCCCTGCACACTGTAGCTGGCCTACCAGTCGGCAAGACCATGCTAGTCTCACCTTGTGCCACTGGCTCCAACTCTACGATTCTGGATGAGGGTGTGGTCCTTGCCTTTCCTTGGGAGAGTCTAATCTCTTGTATTAAAAAGAGAGCTCTCACTATGGAGGCAGTACAGCCCTGAAGGAAGCCAGGAGGCAGAGGTAAGGAGGGACAGCATTCCAGGGGTGAGGAACAGCCAGAGGAAAGGAACAAAGTCGGAAGATCATAGCATAAGTGAGAACAGCAAGAAGACCAGTCCAGCTGGATCACAGAATTCATACATGGGGGTAAAGTGTTCAACTGGAAAGGTAGGAAGGGACCAGGTGGTGAATGTAGTAAGTGCCAAACTGATCTGAAGGTAAAAGGGGGCTGATGAAGTTTACGGCATCCTGGGATCAGGAGGTGGGGAAGGATGACACAGTCACACCTTCACTTTAGGGAAGTCCCCTTGTTAGCTGAGTAAAAGATGGACTGAAGTGGGAGCCTGAAGAGACCAGACAGAAGGCTGTCGTCCACGTGTGAGGAGGCCCTGTAAGAAGGCGGAAGCTGCAGGAGTGGAGAGAAGAGTATGAATAAGATGGTGTGAAAAGGGAAACAAGATCTGACAGAGATGGTACATGGGTTGAGTGTGAGTGATGAAATGAGGATAACATCCAGGTAGTGAGCCCAGGTGACTGAGAGAACGGCGGTGCCTTCACCAGGAAAGCTGGGAAGAAAGGGGAGTTTTTGGGGGAAAAATAATGGGCTCTGTTTTGAACTTGTTGAGCACAAAATGCCTATGGGACATCCAATTCAAGATGTCTAAAATGCAAATGGTGATGACAGACTGCAGCTTGAGAGATTAAGAACCAACAAACAGATCTAGCAATCATCTACACAGAAATAAAGGAACCCAGGGAGCTGAGGAGATCACCAAGTAAGAGACTGTAGGGTGAAAAGAAGACCCTGGACAGAGCCTTGAGGGACACCTAGAGTTAGCTAGATGAAGATTCAGCAAAGGAGACTAAGGAGAGGTCAGAGGGCTAGGAGGAGAACCAAGAGAGAGTAGTGCCACGAAAACCCAGACAGAAGAGATTACCCAGGAAGAGAATGATCAATAGCGTCAATTGGACCGGAACTGACCTCTAACCTGTGGGTGGCCAGAGCCGAACAAAGCAGGCTACAGACTGGAGAGTCAGGAATCAAACAGAAGGTTAATTTCAAAGTGAGAGAAACAACTTGCAAGCAAGGACACGTGCCGGAGCCCCATCCCTAGTGGAGGGGCCAAGGCCTTTTGGGGAGATCTCAGTACTTATAGCAATGACTGCATGGTGAACTGTAGCCCTGACAATGAGGGGTAACAGCAACAACGTGACAAGTTTGATTCACAGCATGGCTTCATGACCAGAACATGGGCACTATAGGTGCTTGTCCAAGCACAGAGATGCTGGTGTGAAGCTATTCTGGGACTTTGCTGAGGCAGAGATCATTCAGAGAGTGAGCGGAAAGGGTTGTTATAATCGTGACAACAGTGTCAAAAGCTATAGAGAATTTAAGAAGAATGACGATTAAGAAAAGATCATTAGATGTAGCACTTAAGAGATCACTGGTAGCTTCAGACAGGACAGTTTTGGTCGAATAAAGTCAGAAGCCAGACTGCAGAGGGTTTGGAAGTGAGAGACAAGACAGGAAGTGAAGGTCCACAGGGGCCACGCAGAACAAGCTTGTCTTCTTCCACACTAACATCCTTTCTTTCCCCTCCAAAAGAAGCATCCCCAGTTGAGCTGATTTTCCTAAGATATGGTCTTTAGTTCCTCCCCCATCCCAATCCTTCTCCTTGGGACATTTCTCAGTATAATTCCTGAAACATGCCCAGAACTAAGCATAATACTCCAGACGTGATCTGAACAGGGAGGGGGTACAGGGTCTATGTGCCTTATCCCACATTAGACTGGAAGCTCCATGACGGCAGGGAATGTCTTATTTAACTGTGTATCTCCCCTAGCACCTAATACAATACTCTGCACCAGAGAGTTGTCTAATAAAAAGTTTTTGATTGGTTGACTTGTCCATGTCAGAGGGAGTTTTGATCAAAATTAAATATCCTTGAAAAATTGAGGAAATTTCTTTGTAGGCCTTAAAGAGCCAGGTAAATATGAGTCTTCTTATACTTTACTCCCCCTCTCAATTGGACAGGGCATCTTTCTCCTTTGCCAAGGCAA